GCCTCGGAAGAGCTCCAGCAGGTCCTGGAAGTCCGGGTCGATGAGGTCGGAGGGCAGGGCGCCGTCGTCGTTGGCCGCGGCTCTGTCGGCCCCCAGGGAGATGAGGTACCTGGGGGCAAAGGCAGCCGTTGCCGCGCGGGCCGCCGCCCGCTGCTCTGCGGCTGGCCGGGCCAGCGTGGCGCGCGGCTCCTGGGCGCACCGTCCGCCGCTTCCCGGGCCGTGGCTCGTGCTGTCCCTCTCACCTGGCTATGTCAGGGTACCCATCGCTGCAGGCCATGTGCAGAGACGTCCAGCCCGTCTCGTCCCGCTGGTGAATGTCGGCCCCATATTTGACCAGCAACTTCACACACTCCAGGTTTCCTGACAGCACGGCTTCATGCAGAGCAGCCAGGCCTGGGAAGGGTGCGAGGGCAGGGGTCAAGGCGCTTGTCCTGTGCCCCCGCCCCTCCAGACCCTCTTCCCCGTCCTCGGCACCCACTCACCAGAGGGGTGGATGGTGTCCAAGGAGACTTTCCTAGCACGGATAAATCGGCCCACCTGTGCCAGGTCACCCTGGCGGATGTGGTCCAAGAAGAGAACATCATTAGGAAAACGCACACTGCGATCGGCCAACAGCCGCCGGCGCCGCTGCTGGGGGCTGTAGTGGGAGTAACGAACAGTTCTACTGGGCATCCTGGGGACTGAGGTGGACCGCCCCTGGAGGGACCCTGTGGTACGGTGAAGGAATACACAGGCCAGACCTGATAAGCCTACAGGCTCTTGATCCGCCAGACAGCCTACTTCCCGCTTATATAGGGTGTACAGAGCTATATAAAGCCACACAGTCATGCTTGGAGACCTGAGGACCCGAAACTGAGCTCCCCACTCCCGGAGCACAGGATCAGGTTTAGCGACTCATCTTTCAACACACCTGTTGCCATGTCCAGCCAAAGGGGTCAGATCCTTCCTGGCTACTGCTTTCTGCCCCACAGCTGGACCTAGAAGGTCCTTTTGCCTTACAGAGGGCAAAAGAAGGAGCCCGCGAGGAGAGCTGTGGGTGGGCTGGAGGGCTGGGCAAGACCCAAAGGTGTCAGGAGGCCTGAGCGGCTGAGACCGGCCAAGATTGGCCTGCCTTTCCACATCTCACTGCACAGGCCTACCTCCTGTGACCTAAGCGGCTGCCTCTTCACAAGAGGGTATAGGTTTATCACACCATGTTGTGGAGGAGATTGGGGCCTCATCCATCCCTTGCCTGTCAACTCTTCAGAGTCATGGCTTCTAGAACCCAGAATTGCTTGAAAAGGACGGCTTTCTGCTCAGGAGGCTGCCACCCTCCTGGGCAAGATCTCAGCGAGGGGACTCCTGTTAGGCCCCCCTCGGGTTGACCTCCCCCTTTTCACTTGCTTCTGCCTGACATCCTTCCTTTAGCTCCAGGTTCTGGACATGCTTCCCCTAAGGATGGTGTCCCTCCCCGCTGAGGAGCAGGACTGTTACAGGTGGTGTGTCCCTGGCCTCCCCCGCGCTGAGGAGCAGGACTGTTACAGGTGGTGTGTCCCTGGCCTCCCCCGCTCATTCGGCAGGCTTGCATTGGCAGCTGTCCTTTTTGGACTTCTTTGTTTTGTTTTGCTGGTCCTGGGGCTTGAGTCTGGGCTTGGTGCTGTTGCTGAGCTTCTTTTTGCTCAAGGCTATCACTCTACCACTTGAGCCACAGCACCACTTCTGGCTTTTTCTGAGTAGTTTATTGGAGCCTGCCTGGGGCTGGCTTCATACCGTGATCCTCAGATCTCAGTCTCCTGGATGGCTGGGATGACGGTGCAAGCCACCAGCGCCCTGCTTGTTTTGTTTTTTGAGGGTCAAGATGGCCTGTGCCATGGTAGCAGAGCTGGGCCAGGGGAGCCCAGAGGTGGTCATGGCTCCTGCCCACCTGGTCTGTCCTCTTGCCCCTAGAAGCTGTCACTGAGCCTGCCAGGGCTGTTGTGGCAGAGCGCCCCAGCCTGGAGTTGGCGTCCAGTCTCTTCTCATGGTTCGGAGGCGCAGGTGTCGGCGGGGCACGTCCTTGAAAAGCTAATGGAGGGTCTGTTCTAGACTTGGCCCAGCCCTGAAGGTCACTGTGCATTTTGGTGTTTCTTAGTTTACAAAAACATCACCTGGTGTCTATGCTTGCCTCCTCCTGGCTTCTTCCTGTGTCCGTCCAAACCCCCTGCCTCACACTGTATCTGATAATCATGTTCTGGGCTGCCTGGGCCTCACACTCCTGACCCTCCCAGCAGAGGGGGGTTAGGGCTCCCCTTCTATGGAGATCCCAGTCAGACTCCCCTTATAAGGATTTTGGAGCCAGGCGCCGGTGGCTCATGCCTGTCATCCTAGCTACTCAGGAGGCTGAGATCTGAGGATCGGGGTTCAAAGCCAGTTTGGGCAGGAAAGTCTGTGAGACTCTCATCTCTAATAAAAACCACTAGAAAATGGGAAGTGGCGCTGTGGCTCAAGCGGTGGAACACTCACCTTGTGCTTGAAGAGCACAGGGACAGTGCCCAAGCACAGAGTTCAAGCCCCACCACTGACGGGGGGGTCGGGGGGAAGGATTTAGGGCTCACCCTACTCCTACTCCATTGGGACCATATCTTAGCCAGTGTGCCAGCAATGATTTTCCCAATAAAATCTCATTTGGAAGCAGGGGGGGATGTGAGTCAGTCCACCGGCGGTAAGATGCTTCAGGTAGCAATGGGAGAATGAGAACTGACTGCCAGTTACTCTGCAGGGCCGGGGAGCGGGAGGCAGTGTAGTCACCAACAGGCCTCGGATCATCAGATGTCTGCAGCCAACAAGTCAAATAATCATAATGTATTACACACTAGGTGAAAAGCCGTGGAACGCAGACCACGGAAGAGACGGTGCCGGCTGGGCCGCTTTGCCTGGCAGTGCCTCAGTACCCGAGCAGCTCGGGTGTTTCCTCTGTCACTCATCCCAGAAACTGGCAAGACTGGCCCACTGTGACTCCACTGGGGGTGGTTCCTGTGTCTGCATTTCCAGGGGCCAGGAGGGAAGTGCTGGTCACATGAACCTCTGGTCACATGGGAGGTGTCAGATGCCTGTTCTTCTGACTTGTTTACACGTTGAGAGACACTAGCCAGGTGAGAGGACCCTGCTCTGACATGGAGATTGCCTTTTCTCCTGTTGTGGAAAAGTTCTGGCTGCACGGCCAGCTCTGAGGAGCATAGAGCTGGGTGAAGCGCACGTGCTGGGGCACCAGCACGATGGCTCTGGGCAAATGTGTCGGGCCAGGCTATCTGTCCATCCCAAGTGGGAAGCCCTGGCCTCTCCCGTGACCTGTGAGCTGAGAGCAAGGCTTGTGTTGGTTTGGATCAGAGAAGGATCTGGTCCCTGAAGCCTTCCAGCAGCTGTGGACCCTCCAGAAGGGAATGTCAGGCCTTGTTCTAACAAGTTCCTGGGAACCGTTCACACATCTGGATGTGCCTGTCCTTTTTTGTATGTCTGTTCAGCAGTACTGGAGTTTGAACTCAGAGCCTTCTACCACTTGAGCCACATGACCAGCCTGTTTTTTTTCTTTTGCTGGTGTGTGTGTATGTGCACGTGTTCATGAATGTACGCATGTACACATTGGTACTAGAGTTTGAACTCAGCCTCACATTCCTGCTCTGCTTTCTTGCTCATGGCTAGTGCTCTGCTACTAGAGCCATGCCTCTAGTCCAGTATTTTGCTGGTCAACTGGAGTTTTCTTTTTTTTTTCTTTTGGGTCTGGTCGTGGGGCCTGAACTCTGGGCCTGGGCGCTGTCCCTCAGCTCTTCAGCTCAAAGCTAGCGCTCTACCACTTGAGCCACAGCACCACTTCCGGCTTTTTTCTTTTTGCTTATGTGGTTCTGAGGAATTGAACCCAGGGCCTCAGGCATGCAAGGCAAGTGCTCTACCACTGAGCCACCTTCCCAGCCCCTCAACTGGGCTGTGTGGGCTGTCCCCATGATCTCCACCTCCTGAATAGTTAGGATTACAGCCATGAGCTATGATGCTCAGCTCACATCTTGCTTTTTTAAAAACTGGCCATGAGCTGTCCAGCCTGTTGTGGTAGTAAAACAGGGAGGCATCAGGACTAAGCCTGTAGTTAGGTGGCTGTGTCCTTGGTCAGTCCTGCGGCTTTAACTCAGGGTCTGGGTGCTGTCCCTGAGGGGTTTTCTTTGCTCATGACTAGCATTCTACCACTTGAGCCACAGCTCCACTTCTGGCTTTTTTGGTGATTGATTGGAGACAAGAGTCTCATGGACTTTTCTGCCTGGGTTGGCCTTGAACTACAATCCTCAGATCTCAGCCTCCTGAGTAGGTAGAATTGCAGGCATGAGCCACTGGTTGATACCTAGCTCCCTTGATTCTTCATAGTATGGACTGGTGAAATGACTAGTTCATTGTGATTTAAATTTTAAGAGGATAAACTATGTGAAAAGATTAAAATGTCCAACGAGTGCCACCAGCAGTGTCCTACAAGAAACATACTGCCTGGAGACTGTAAGGGAAGTTGGCACTGCCCCAGGGCAGGGCGGCCTCCTGTGTGGGCTCCAAGGACCCTGGGACAAGACTTTAACCTGAGATCTTATTTTTTAGTGTTGGGGCAGTTGAGCTTGAACTGAGGGCCTTGGTGCTGTCCCTGAGCTTTTTTGCTCAAGGCTGGTGCTCTACCCTGTGAGCTACAGCGCCACTTCCAACTTTTTGGTGGTTAATTGCAGAGAAGGGTCTCTTGGATTAGTCTTAGCTGACTTCAAACCTTGATTGCCAGCTCAGCCTCCTTAGCTGTTAGCGTTATAGTAGTGGGTCTCTGGCTCCTGGCTCTGACATCTGCTTCTTTAACCTCCAGGCCAGAGACTTCTCACTATGTGGAGAGAACAGATTGGCAACTCCCAGCAACTAAGCTTTTGCTGCTTTCCCTCTGAGCCTTCCAGCTGCCTTGCTCATTCAGCCAGAGCTTCCGGACACCACCCTGCAGCCTCCCAACACAGCCTAGGCCCAGGAATGCACTCATCAGCTGCTTCTGCAAAAGGGGAAAGGTATCAGACTCACTCCCCTCCCTGGAGGGCGTGATGTTTCTGCTTGGTCCCAACTTTCTATGAAGAGGCCAGGTCTCCACACAGCTGGGCATCAGGCCCACCCACTCTGTCTTGCTAGGGAGAGGCCACATATCCTTCCAGCTCTAGGTCTCAGGCTCACATCATTGGGGAACTGAGCTAACATCTTCCTACCTAACCTCCTAGTGTCTGTAGCCACTTTACTATGGACATTAACTATATACCTTTATGTTGGCAAGACTCAGGCCAAACTCTGTGATCCTCATGTCTCAGCCTCCTGAGTGGCTGGGATTATAAACACAAGCCACTGGTGCCTTGGGTCTAGTTACCTTTGAAAAGCCAGGAAGTGTCCTCTTTTTAACCCACATTTCCCCCAGGGCGTCCCCCTCCCCCCCTTTCCACTAAGGCTGGTAATAAGCAACCTTGCTTATCTTTGAGGTTTAATCCACCTTAATTCTCAAAAGATAGCTCAGCAGTAATTGCAGTGACCAGCACCAGCCCCCCCCCCCCCGGGGGCCCAGACAGCTATACCCCTGCTGGGCCTGTGGGGTGGCTGTACTTAGGAATGACACACACACACAGTAAAAGTAACAACTGGTACTAAAATTTCAACTTTATTTGGCCAATGTGTTCAATTCCAATATTGTGGTAGAAATGCCTGAAGAATGGGCATTGTCTGGTCCAGTCCATGTCCTTGGCTCGGTCTCAGCCTGGGAGACCCACTGGAAGAAAGCCTGGTGGCCACAGAGCAATGTGCCCACAGCAGATAGGTGCGGACTCCTGGCTTGAGAGCAGGGGACTTGTCCAGGGTCAGGGTCGCAGCACCCTCTCCTCCAATCATGGCAGGCCCACACAGACAGGACCCAGACGTTTCCTTTAGCTAGAAACTGCAAAGCCAGGCTGGCAGCACTGGCACAGGGTGGAGGAGAGCGACTGCGTCCAGCCCAGGCTTGTTCTTCCCATCCAGGAGACTGGTGTCTCCCAGGGAGGCCTGGCCTCAGTGGAACAGATGCCCTGATGTAGGGACATGCCTGAACGTCCCACACAGATGGAACTAAGCGAGACACCATCAGTGTGAGTTCCCAAACATTTAGCAAGCACTCAAGACGAAACTCATGTACAAAAAAGTACATCATGGTTTAAAAAATTAAGCCCATCAAGATGGGCTGGCCTGGAGATGAATCCCTTTCCAAAAATTGAAAAGCAAAGGAAGAGATGGGTGAAAGTGTACGCGTGTGTTAGAGTGAGTGTGGCTTTGGAAAGATCCCTGGGTTCCGAGGGTGCTCCCTCCTTGGGCAAGGGTCAGGCTCCGGAGGCGTGGGCTGCTGGGTGGAACAAGGCCCAGCAGGCCCAGCAGGCCATGGAGGCGTCAGGTTGGGGTGTCCAGGTCTGTCTGCTCCATTACAGTTCATCTCTCACAGCTTTCTGATCATCATCTTCCTCCATGTCCGGCTCTAGGGCTTCTTCCAGGTCCAGGTCCTAGATCCACGAGGGGGGGGGGGGAGGTGTGGCTCAAGGTCCCGGGGGTAAGGGAGCAGGAGGCCACACAGGAGCTGGCCTTCAGTCACACGGGCAGCCAGAGCTGGCTGGGATGAGGCCTGGAGCCTCTTTGAGCAGAACAGGGCAGAAGGTGGTTGCCTACAAAGCAGCAGCAGAACTTCCCAAGGCAAGGCAAGGCAAACACAGCCTAGCCCTCAGATCATGCGAAGGCTGTACCCCAAGGAGCCTGAGGAGGGAGCCTAAGAGGGCCAGGCTCCCGTGACAGGGTGGGGCAGCCTCCTGCATGAGGAGCCTCCATCCCTCCTGCAGCGCTTCCCTTGGGACAGTCTGCCCCCCTCCCTGCCTCACCTGTACTTCCAGGAGAGCCCTGCTGGCCCAAACATTCTTGTGTGTGTACTCGCTCTGGAGCTTGAACTTAAGAGCCTGGGTGCTGGCCCTGAGCTGCTTTTGTACTAGCTCTACTGCTTGAGCCACAGAGCCACTTCTGCTTTTTCTGAGTTTAAGATAGGAATCTTGTAGACTTTGACTAGGCTGGCTTTGAACTCCAAACTGCAGATCTCAGCCTTCTGAGTGGCTTGGACTACAGGTGTGAGCCACCGGCACCTGGCTTCCATTCTTGTTCCAGATGTCACTGACTGCCACCAATCCCCTGCTCTCAGAATCGCCACCACTGCCACTGCACGTGAGCTGACTTGGACAGGATGAAGTTAAAAGGTCAACCCATGTCCACTTTTTCTCTCCCAGTATTGGAATTTGAACTCTGGGCTTGATGCTTGCTTGGTCCACTGGTAACCTGCCACTTGAGTTACACCTATAGCCCTGATTTTTACTACTTATCTTATAGTCACACAGACTTTTTGGCTTGGACTGGCTTCAAATTGTGATCCTCGGCATCTAGCCGGAGTCACCAGCCTCCAGAGCGGGTCTGTGCTGTGTGTGTGGTTCTGGGACTTGAGCTCAAGGCCTTGGCTAGAGACCTAGACTTGTGTCTGATGCCATCTGTTGAGCGATACCTCCACTCTCAGGCCTGAGCTCTTGCCTATTACTCAAGCCATACCTCCACTTCCAGGTTTTTGCTGCTAGCTCTTAGCCTCTATCCTCAGGTCTCTACCTCCTGAGTAGACTGGACTAAAGGCACGAGCCACCAGTCTTCTGAGCCCACACTGTTCCCAGAGGTCTGCCTGATGCCCATGTGACCATACTCACATCATCATCTCCTGCCCCATCCTGGCCACCGCTCTCCAAGAACTTCTTAAATCCGTCCAGTGTCCGCTCCCCATTATAATCGATGACCTGCAGGAAAAGATGGGTGGGGTGAGGAACTGATCCTGATCCCTGGCTGTGCAGCTAACAGCTCCTCCTCCCTGCAGGAAGGCGTGGCTCCATCATTTCTCCAGGCCCAAGGAATAACACAGTGCCCTTTACCCTTATTGGGTTTTCCATTGCTAAATCTTTGTTTTAACCAACTTTGTTTTTTTTCACTGAAAATTCATCAGGCTTCAGATGGTCATGGAAACCCAAGCTTATGTGAACCTGCCTGCCCCCTGGTTTCTATACAGGTCTGCAGAGGGTCCCTAGACTGGCTGTTTCATTGATGTCCTTAAACCAGCAGGAAGGGGCTGGGAAGGTGGCTCAGTGGTAGAGCGCTTGCCTTGCATGCATAAGGCCCTGGGTTCCATTCCTCAGCACCACATAAGCAGAAAAGGCCAGAAGTGGCACTGTGGCTCCAGTGGTAGAGCTCTAGCCTTGGGCTGAAGAGCTGAGGGACTGAGCCTAGGACCAGACTTCAGGCCCCACTACCCACAAAAAAAAGAAAGAAAGAAAGAAAAAACAGCGGGAAGTATCAAGAGCTACTGTAGTTAGGGTTACCTTTTCTGAGGGGGATATGATGCCTGTTAGTAAAACAGCAGGCCTACAGGGAGCAGGCTTGCAGGGAGCAGGATAAGCTGATAAAACAAAACCAGCCACACAATGAAATGGGGGCAGGAAGCTACAAAGAATGAGTAAGTAGCCTGGCACAGGTGGCTCACGCCTGTAATCCTAAAGTCCCGGAGACTCTTATCTCCAATAAACCACTAGAAAACCACAAGTGGCGCTGTGGCTCAAGCGGTAGAGCACTCACCTAGAGTTGAAGAGCACAGAGACAGCGCCCAAGCCCAGAGTTCAAGCCCCAGGACCAAAAAAAAAAAAAAAGAATGAGGAAGTAAAAAGGAAATGAGGACAGGACAGTAGACTGGCGTTACAGACACCCCCCGGTGAGAGCACCCTCCAATTCTCACTCCTTAACCCAAGGCAGGCTCTGTAACCAGGAAGAAGGCACAGATGGACCAAGCCCCACGCTGCCCGTGGAGTGTCTGACACCACCCTCTCTTATTTCTTTTGTAATAAACGTTCGTATTATCTTTCATTTAAAAAAGGAAGGGAGGAGCTGGGCGCTGGTGGCTCCTGCCTGTAATCCCAGCTACTCAGGAGGCTGAGATATGAAGAGATTCTTTTCATCTCCAGTTAACCACCAGAAAACAGAAGTGGTGCTATGGCTAAAAGTGATAGAGCACGAGCCTTGAGCTGGAGACAGCACCCAAGCCAGGAGTTGAAGCTCCACAACAGACAACAAAGGCAAAAACACAAGGGAGCAGGCTTGGTCCTTAGAAGCTGCTCGTGCCTTACCAACCCGACCCTCCCTGGTGGCAGGCCGCTGGGGAGGTGTACCTTTCTGTCTGCACTGGCTGGGAAGAACTTCAGGGTAGGGAAGCTGTGTACTTTGACCGCCTCCACCTCGTTGGCTGTCGAGTCCATCTTGGCGATGACAATACTGTCATGGTCCTTGTATGTCTCTCCCAGTTTATCCCAGATGGGGGCCAGCTGCTTGCAGTGACCGCACCACGGTGCATCTGCAGGGAGAGCAGTACTGATTGCCAGCCCAGACACAGCTGTCTGTGGAGGCCTGCACTGAGCCCTGTGCCTCCCGGGCTGCCCCAATGGAGCAAGTGGGAGGCTGGAGCCCTTCACTTACAGAACTCCACAAAGACGTTCTTCTTCTCATCAAAAGCAATCTCCTCAAAGTTCTTGCCAACTAGCACCTTGACAGGCTGCTTGTCCCAGTCTTCAGGTAGCTCCTGGCTCATCAGGTGGGGCTGGAGGGCAGAGACAGGACGGTCAGGGAGTGCTGTGCTCATTACTCCCACACCTGGCCCAGGCCCAGCACCCACTGCCCTCCTGAGGACACCAGAGCACACGTTGACTGGAAGCGAGCACGAGAAGGCTGAGCCCACAAGGCAGCGCCCACCTGGCTTTCGGGCTAACTTGCCACGATGACAGTGTAGGAGGGTTCTCTACAGTCTCTGAGGATTGGCTAAAGGAAAGGATATTGCTGAGCACGCCTATCATCGCAGCTACTCCGGAGCCAGCCCGGGCAAAAAAATTTATGAGTTTTTTTTTTTGGTCGGTCCTGGGGCTTGAACTCTGGGCCTGGGCGCTGTCCCTCAGCTCTTCACCTCAAGGCGAGCGCTCTACCACTTGAGCTACAGCGCCACTTCTAGTTTTCTAGTGGTTTATTGGATATAGGAGTCTCACGGTCTTTCCTGCCCCGGCTGGCTTTGAACTGCGATCCTCAGATCTCAGCCTCCTGAGTAGCTAGGATTACAGGCGTGAGCCACCAGCGCCCGGCTAATTTATGAGGTTTTTTTTTTGGGTCCGGTCATGGGGATTGAACTCTGGGCCTGGGTGCTGTCCCTGAGCTCTTCAGCTCAAGGCTAGCACTCTACCACTTGAGCCACAGCGCCACTTCCGGCTTTTTTCTTTTTGCTTATGTGGTGCTGAGGAATCGAACCCAGGGCCTCTGGCATACAAGGCATGTACTTCCCAGCCCCAATTTATGAGGCTTTTAATCTCCAATAAACCACCAAAAAAACTATAAGTGGAGCTGTGGATCAAGCAGCAGAGCAAAAACAGCTCAGGGATAGTTCCCAGGCCCTGAGTTCAAGCCCCAGGACCAGCACAAAAAACAGAAATATTAAGCCAGAACCGGGCACTGGTGGCTCACGCCTGTAATCCTAGCTACTCAGGAGGCTGAGATCTGAGGATCGAGGTTCAAAGCCAGCCCGGGCAGGAGAGACTGAGACTCCTATCTCCAATAAACCACCAAAAAACCGGAAGTGGCGCTGTAGCTCAAGTGGTAGAGTGCTCGCTGAAGGACAGCACCCAGGCCCTGAGTTCAAGCCCCACGGCTGACAAAAAAAAAAAAGGAAATATTAAGCCAGGCGCCAGTGGCCCACACCTGTAATGCTAGCTACTCAGGAGGCTGACATCTGAGGATCACAGTTCAAAGCCAGCCCAGGCAGGGAAGTCCGTGAAACTCTTATCTCCAATGAACCACCAAAAAACCAAAAGTGGTGCTGTGGCTCAAGAGGTAGAATGCTTGCCTTGAGCTGAAAAGCTGAGGGACAGCGCCCAGGCCTAGAGTTCAAGACCCACGACTGACTACCCCCCCCCCGAAAAAAAAGGTACTAGTGATAAGCTTATGCCTATAAACCTAGTGTCTTAGGAGCCTGAGATCTCAAAGGGGGTTCAAAGCCAGCTGGGCAAAAAAAATCCTTGAGAGCCAGGTGCCATTGGTTCACGCCTGTAATCCTAGCTACTCAGGAGGCTGAAATCTGAGGATCATGGTTTAAAGCCAGTCTAGGCAGGAAATTCCGTGAAACTCTTATTTCCAATAAAGCACTAGAAAACCGGAAGTGGCACTGTGGCTCAAGCAGTAGAGTGCTTGTCTTGAGCTGAAGAGCGCAAGGACAGCGCCCAAGCCCAGAGTTCAAGCCCCATGACTGACAAAAAAAAAAAAAAAAAAATCCTTGAGAACCTATCTCCAACATAACCAGCGAAGAGTAGGTCTAGAGGCATAGCTCAAGTAGTAGAACATCATCAGTCAAGCAAGGAAGTGAGGCCAAGGCTCCAAGTTCAAACCTAATAGCAGCAAAGGAAAAACAAAAAAGGAATGGAGACTTCCCACTACCGTGTACTCTGTGTCAGAACCTGGTGTTGCTGTGTAAGAGTCAGAGACAGTAGAATCCAGCCCCCCACAGGTGGGCGCTGGTCTGTAAGGTGGGCTGCAGTCAGCCCAACTAGGTCTGGCACCTTGATCTTGCCCTCCAGGAAGTGGTGGCAAAACTCTGTGATCTTCTCAGCTGTCAGCTCATCTGACTCAGGCTTGTACTTGGTCATCTCCTCCTCCAGGGTGATGAGCCGCACAGCCGGGCACTCCTCCTTCTTTAGGCCAAAGAACTCGAGGATGCGCTGGTTATCAGCATGGTCGCTGTCGATGAAGATAAACAGGATCTTGGGGGAGAAAAAGCACACTGAGATGGGCCCTACACAGGGCCCCACCCAGAAGCAGCTGGTGCCCTTGGAACCATTCTCTCCACATCAGACTCTGGGTTTGAGCAGAAAAGAAGTGGTTGGGGGAGGGGGGCTGGCCCCTTGGGTCCCAAACACCCACATTCAGGGGGCAGCCACGGAAGGCCTGAGGCCTCTGAGTCCTGGGAGAAGCCTTGCAGTCTGGCAAGGTCACAAGCCCAGGAGCCCACCTTGCCCTTGAAGCCCTCAGCTGCTTTCTTGAAGTTGCTCAGTTTGCCATCGTAGTCAGACACGCTCTTGGGCAGGAACAACAGGATATGCGTCTTGATTTCACCCCCAAAAATCTTGGGAGCTGTCTGTTACAAATGCAACTTACTGTTACTGGATCAGAGCCACAAACGGAGCTAGGATAGAATATTCTCCCAGTGGCCTCAGGGCGACCAGACACTTGGACAGTGGTAACCCCACCTGCTCCGTGAACTCGATGACCAGAGGCAGCTGGTTGTGCTTGATGAAGTCCAGCAGGTTCTCCTTGGTGATCTCCCCCTCAAAGTTGTTCCGTCCTTCATCAAACTGGGGAGAGAAAGAAGGCTATGAGCATGGCTGCCCAGCCTGCCCCGGGACGAGGGTAAGAAGGCTATGAGCATGGCTGCCCAGCCTGCCCCGGGACGAGGGCACACTACCCAGCCTGGCCAAGCAGCGTCTGCTGGTCTCCGCAATGAGGGCCGATGCATTCCTTCCCTGACAGCCTCGCCTGGATTCAGCCATCACCCTGTGGCCACCAGAAGTCTATAAACTGGCTTCAGGCCCACATCAAGCGAGTGGTTCCCAGTCCTTCAGTTACCCAACTGTAGGGCACAGGCAGAAGTGCTACAGGAATGACTGGACCCTGCCCCACAGGCCAGACAGAGGCCCCGCCATGGCTGCCTGCCCAGGGCCGTCTCAAGATGGAGGAGGCCCCTACACAGCTGCGGAAGCTGTGAACAAAGAACTGTGCGCCGCCGTCTTTGCCCACAGGTCAAGACCTGTTGTGTGCTACAGCGGTGGAATGATTGTGTGTGACGTGCGTGTACTTAAACTCAGAGCCTTTACACTCAAGCTGATATTCTACCACTTGAGCCATAGCTGCACTTCTGGCTTTTTGCTGGATATTTGGAGATAGGCTTTTCATAGAATTTTGAATTAGAATCTTCGGATTTTCACCTCCTGGGTAGCTAGGATTATAGCAGTAAGCACCAGCACCAGCTGGTGGTTAGGTCTTACGTCCAAACTCATTCCCACAGCTACGGTGCATGGGTCCCGCTCTTGGAGTATCTGCATGGCTGGGGCTACTTTGTAGCCCAAGCTAACTCTGAACTCATTCTTTGTGCTTCCACCACCCAAGCACACATCGCACACCCAGCATACTCTTACATTTGTTGGGGCTTTTGGTGGTATTTGGGTTTGAACTCAGGACTTAATGCTTAGGCCATGCCCCCAGATCTTTTGACTTTAGGTCTTTTTCCCAGGTAAGGTCTAACAAGGTTTTGCCTGGGCAGGCCTCCTTCCTCTGTCTTCCTTGGGGCAGGGACTGCAGCCGTAGGATACAATCCCTAGCCTGTATACCACAATGCCTAGCCTTTCAGCTTTTGTTTCCTTAATTAGCTTACATAATAGATTTCAGTGTTCTAATTCCATGTTTACAATGTATTCAATCAATCAGCCCTTCTATCACTGTCCCTTCTCCCCTATGAACATGTGTCTGTGTATATTACTGGTGTGAGCCACTGGTATTTGGCTATATTTGTGTGTATATGTGCATGCACACACATGCAAGCAGGTATCAGGGCATGAACTCGGCCTTACATTCTTGTTCGTGGCAGTTGAACTACTTAAGCCATACCTCTAGCCCTCAGCCTTTTTTTTTTTTTGATTGTGGGGCTTAAACTCTGGGCCTGGTCACTGTCCCTCAGCTCCAGCTCAAGGCAAGAGCTCTACCACTTGAGCCACAGCGCCACTTCCAGTTTTCTGGTTAATTGGAGATCAGAGTTCCATAGACTTTCCTGCACAGGCTGGCTTTGAACCACGGTCCTCAGGTCTTAGCATCCTGATAGGATTACAGGTGTGAGCCACCTGTGCCCAGCTAAGCTTTTTTTTTTTTCCTTTTGGTCTTTTCTTTTTTGGACTGAGGATTGAACCCAGGATGTTGCAATTGCTAGGCAAACACATTGCTACTGAGCTACTTCCCAGCCCTGACCTAGCCTTTTTGTTGAGATGAGGTCTTGTTAACTTTTTTCTGGGCTGGCCTCAAACCTCAATTGTTTTTTTGCTTTTGTTTTTTTTTTTGGTCGGTCATGGGGCTTGAACTCTGGGCCTGGGTGCTGGGTGCTGTCCCTCAGCTCTTCAGCTCAAGGTGAGCGCTCTACCACTTGAGCTACAGCGCCACTTCCGGATTTCTGGTGGTTTATTGGAGATAGGAGTCTCATGGTCTCTCCTGCCCGGGCTGGCTTTGAACCGCGATCCTCAGATCTCAGCCTCCTGAGTAGCTAGGATTACAGGCGTGAGCCACCAACACCCGGCTTTGCTTTTGTTTTTTATTTCTGCCAATTCTGGGGCTTGAACTCAGGGTCTGGGCACTGTCTTTGAACTTCTTTTGCTCAAGGCCAACACTCTACCACTTGACTCACAGCACCACTTCTGGCTTTGTGTATGTGGTACTGAGGAATCAGACCCAGGGCTTCATGCATACTAGGCAAGTACTCTACCACAAAGCCACATTCCCAACCCATCTCAATTCTTCTGTTCTCTGCCCCTGAAGTAAACATATGCCAGCGTACCTAGTCTTACTACTAAAAAAAAATTTTTGGGGGGGGGATCCGGTCATGGAGCCTGAACTCTGGGCCTGGGTGCTGTCCCTGAGCTCTTCAGCTCAAGGCTACCACTTGAGCCACAGCGCTACTTCTGGCTTTTTTCTCTTTGCTTATGTGGTGCTGAGGAATCGAACCCAGGGCCTCAGGCATGCAAGGCAAGCGTTCTACCACTGAGCCACCTTCCTAGCCCAACTAAAATTTTTTTTTTGGTCGGTCATGGGGCTTGAACTCTGGGCCTGAGTGCTTTCCCTCAACTCTTCCGTTCAAGGCTAGCGCTCTACCACTTGAGCTACAGCGCCACTTCCGGTTTTCTGGTGGTTTATTGGAGGTAAGAGTTTCAGACTTTCTTGCCCAGGCTGGCTTTGAACAGAGATCCTCAGATCTCAGCCTCCTGAGTAGCTAGGATTACAGGCGTGAGCCACCAGTGCCCGCCTTACTGAAATTTTTTGTGTATGCCATACTGGGGCTTGAAACTCAAGATCTCTAGCCTGTTTTTCATAGATCATGGGGCTTGAATTCTGGGCCTGGGCTCTGTCCCTGAGCTCTTCAGCTCAAGGCTAGTGCTCTACAACTTCAGCCACAGCACCACCTCGAGTTTTCTGGTGGTTCATTGAAGATAAGAGTCTCACAGACTTTCCTACCTAGGCTGTTTTAGAACCAGGATCCTCAGATCTCAACTTCCTGAGTAGCTAGGATTACAGGTGTGGTCAGTGTCCACCCACTATTCTTGAGTAGTTTTGATTCAGGTTGGTTGAATCTCAGGTTGTGGTAAGCAGAATATACTCATCTCTTCACAGCTGCCAGTTCACGTTGTACTTCAAGAACAGAAATGGCACTGTGGCTTAAGTGATAGAGCACTAGCTCAGGGACAGTGGCCAGGTAGAGTTCAAGCCCCACAACGAAAAAAAAAAAAAGAACAGAAAAAAAGGCAGCCAAGCCCTGTGTGGGTGCCCTGTATGTCGGGCCCTGTGCATGGTATGCTGCTTCTCCTCTACCCAGGAGGTGTGGGCTTCCAGGCACCCGCTGTACACATCCCAGTGTAGCCAGTGGGGAGAAGGGAACAGGAAAAGAAGAAAAAGCCAGGGAGAACGCTGAGAGTCATTTGAAATTGAGCCAGGCTCTAGTGGTTCACGTCTGAAGAGGCTCAGATCTGAGGACTGCAGTTTGAAGCCAGCTTAGGTAGAAAAATCTAACAATTCTCTCTCCAATTCTAGGCTAGTATGGCTCAAGTGGTAGAGGCACCAGTGAAAAGCCAAGCAAGAGTGCAAGGCCAGGCTGGCGCGGTGGCTCACGCCTGTCACCCCAGCTACTCAGAAGGCTGAGACCTAAGACCACTGGTTTGGAAGCCAGTCAAGGCCAGGAAATTCCATTGAGACTCTTAACTAAGTAGCTACCAAAAAAAAAAAAAAAAACAGAAGGAGAGCTGTTGCTCAAGTAGCAAAGCACTGAACTTGAGTGCTGGCACACACTCAAAACTGCTGAGCTTCAGGCCAAGGTGCCCCCCACCACCCACACCCCGCAGTGGGCAGGGCCCAGACCTACAGGTCCTCTGCGAAGCCAGGACCCTCCCCAGGAAGACCACGCCTCTACTCGCCCAAGCATGAGTAGTACATCTGAATACTTTTGTCCAGCTATGATCCAGGGAACCTCAGCACATGACAATCATTCAGCCTATTTTGGTAAAAACAAACAGTTCCTATTTAAGGAAAGAGGCCAGAGGCACCCTGATTGGGGACCCTGTCTCAAGACTACAGTGACTGCCTACATCTGTCCCAGACACGAATCCTGCTGTGCCACAGTAACATATCATGGAAAGGCCAAATCCTGAAGACTGGAAGAGGCTGCTGGTCCTGTCTTCACTCCTAACTTCCTCAAATAAAAAATGAAGCAGAAATAATAAAAACATGGATTAAGCCAGGCACTGGTGGCTCATGCCTGTAATCCTAGCTACTCAGGAGGCTGAGATCTGAGGATCACGGTTCAAAGCCAGCCAGGGCAGGAAAGCCCGTGAGACTAATTTCCAAGTAACCACTCAGAAAACTGGAAGTGACGCTGTGGCTCAAGTGGTAGAGCGCTAACCTTGAGCTGAAGAGGTGAGGGACAGCGCCCAGGTCCAGAGTTCAGGCTCCACAACCGACCAAAAAACAAAAAACAAAAAACACACACATGGATTCGGGTGTGGAAATGTGGCTTAGTGGTAGAGTGATTGCCTAGCATGCGTGAAGCCCTCGGTACGATTCCTCAGTACCACCACATAAGCAGAAAAATCCCTAAGTGATGCTGTGGGGTTCAAGTGGTAGAGCGATAGCCTTGAGCTGAAGAGCTGAGGGAAAGCATCCAGACCCAGAGTTCAAGCCCCAAGTCTGGCAAAGACAAAACAGAACAACAACAACAAAAAACATGGACTAGGGTTGGGAAGGTGGCTCAGTGGTAGAGTACTTGCATTACATGCATGAGGCCCTGGGTTCAATCCCTCAGTACCAAATAAACAAAAAGCCAGAACTGAGGAAGTGGCGCTGTAGCTCAAGTGGTAGAGCGCTCGCCTTGAGCTGAAGAGCTGAGGGACAACGCCCAGGCCCAGAGTTCAAGCCCCACGCCCGAGAAAAAACAAACAAAAAAAAACTATATAGAGCACACAGAACTGATGCTGTGGGGCTCAAGTGGTAGAGCACTAGCCTTGAGCTTTAGAGCTGAGAGACAGCACGCAGGCCCAGGGGTGTGGGGGCGGCAGGGGGGGTGTACGACGACATGGGACATGGACTAGTTGCTCAATAACTGACAGCTCTACTGCCCCCCACAACCCTCCAGCAAAAATGAGTAGAAAGTGGCTGGCCACACCAGAGCCTGGGTTCCCTCATATGCCTCCTGGGGAAGCATCTGCCCTTCCAGGTCCCCACATCAGTCCTGAGCACACAGGAAAGAGGCCCAGCATCCTCACCAGTGAGGAGTATAGGCAGGAAAGAGGAATCTGATGGAGGAGGGGTCGGAGTGTGCGCAGTGGTGGAGTGATCGCAGGAAAGAGGAATCTGATGGAGGAGGGGTGGGAGTGTGCGCAGTGGTGGAGTGATGTGAGATGGAGCCTGTGTCGTGACCTCTGACCCTCACAGCACCACCTCCTGTGTCTGAGCCACTCACTGCAATGCAGGAGACACGCCACCACAAACCAGCCCCGCCCCAGGACACCAGAAACTGAGGCAGAAGAAAAGAGACACACAGCTGCCGGGCATGGTGGCTGCAAAGGTTCCTGGAGCCCAGGAGATGGTACCACCCTGGACAGCTTAGTCAGACTCAAGCCCAGCCTGCCTCAACAGCACATCTACCACACACTCCATTCCGTGAAAGCAAAACAAGGAAAGGTCCTTCAAGCCTCCCAGGACCCCCAGTACACAGCACAGGGCAGACTATGCATGGACTGAACAGGTCTCCATGTTTCTGCAAGTCTCAGCGAATCCGCCTTACAACCTTAACTTTCGGATGAGACTCAAGAGTTAATATCATAACCAGGTACTGGTGGCTCACACCTGTCATCCAAGCCACTCAGGAGGCTGAGATCTGAAGACTACAGTTTAAAGTCAGACCAGGCAGGACTCTTATCTCCAGTTAACCACCAAAAGTCAGAAATAGAACTGTGGCTTAGCAGGGTGCCGGTGGCTCACGCCTGTCATCCTAGCTACTCAGGAGGCTGAGATCTGAGGATCACAATTCAAAGCCAGCCGGGGCAGGAAAGTCCATGAGACTCTTATCTCCAATGAACTACTAGAAAACCGGAAGTGGCGCTGTGACTCAAGTGGTAGAGCATTAGCCCCCAGAGTTCATGACCCAGAACAAAGAAAAGAAAAAAGAGAAAGACTGACATCCCCAAAACATCTCATTTTCTCTTTTTTGCTCGGACCAGGATTTAAACTCAGGGATCATTTCTTGCTCTTTTCTCCACCTCCCCCACCCTGCTTCAGCACTGGGACCCCTGTGAACCCCCAAGTTAATTACAAGTAGAGTCTCTCAGATTTTATGTCTAGGCTGACTTCAAACTACAGTCTTCATGTTTCAGTCTCCTGAATAGCTAGGATTTGTAAGTGTGAGCCACTGGTTCCTGGTCTTGAAACCCTTCTACCAACTGCAGCTAGAACATCCTGATTTTTCTAGTCCGGCATCTAAGTAAAATTTCCTTACATAGCCAGTTGCCAGTGGCTCACACCTGTAATCCTAGCTACTCAGGAGGCTGAGGTCTGAGGATCACAGTTCAAAGTCAGCCTGGACAGGTACGCCCAAGTGCTTCTCATCTCCAATTAACCACCAAAAAAAGACATGGAGCTGTGGCTCAAGCGGTAGAACACTAGCCTTGAGCAAAAAAAGTTCAGGGACAGCAACCAGGCCAGGCCCCAAGCTCAAAATAAATAAATAAATAAAATGACAAGCTAGGTGCTGGTGGCTAATAGATGGAATAATCCTAGCTACTCAGGAAGCTGAGCTCTGAGGATCACAGTTCAAAACCAGCCCAGGCAGGGAAGTTCATGAAACTCTTACCTCAAATTAACCAGCAGATTCTTTGTTGCTTTGTATGTCCCTTCCCCAAGGTATAACCCCTGCTTTCATTGTATTTGATGTTGTTATAATTTGGGGAGGGGAAGGGCAAAAACAAATTGTTTAAATAGGGATACAGGTGGACCCATTGCAACAATGAGATGTACAAGTCGTTATGTCGAAAAACGAACTTTACATCTTTTTTTGGGGGGGTGGGGAATGGGAAGGGGAAACAAAGGAGGAGGCAACAATGCTCAATAAGAAATGTACTCACTACCTTGTCCATGTAATTGTAACCCCTTTGTGCAGTATTTTCACAATAAAAATAAAAATAAATTAACCACCAGAAAACCAGAAATGAATGAAATGTGGTTCAAAGTGGTAGAGCACTAGCCCAAGGTAATAAAGCTTAGGAACAGCGCCTAGGCCCAGAGTTCAAGCCACATGACTGACCACAAAAGTCCTTAGAGGTCACTCAGCCCTCAACTTGAGATGTCTTTTCAGAGCCATAATACATATAACAAGATGACGTAAAGGTTTCCAAACCAGGTGGCCACTGCCACATACAGTATGACCTTCTAATATAGGCTGTCAGTGCTCTATAACAGTCCTCTGACTACAAACAGGACAGAACAGCACTCCATGGGTCCTATTCCCCAGATTGCCCCCTCACTCCCTTGGTCTTTTGAAATTTCTTCCCCTCTTCTGCCTGGGCAGTACCCACATCCAAACACAGCTGTGCTCCGGGAGCAGCCACCGTGCCAGCACTCCCAGGAATGCAGTCACATCTGTCCCCGTAACGGGGACACGGCTAAGAAGCACTCCACTTCTAACGAGGGACGTAGGGCAGGGTCCCTGGCTTTGCCAAATGGATGGGGACACATGCCTAGGGAGCTAATGCTCCACAACTTCTGTTTGGGGTGAGGAAAAGTTCTGGAAATAGAACAGTCTTGGAAACAAGATGCATGGCACTGTCAATGTCATTAATGCTACCAAATTAAGCACTTAAAAATGGCAAAAAGGGCCGGGCGCTGGTGGCTCACGCTTGTAATCCTAGCTACTCAGGAGGCTGAGATCTGAGGATCATGGTTCAATGCCAGCCCGGGCAGGAGAGACCGTGAGACTCCTATCTCCAGTAAACCACCAGAAAACCGGAAGTGGCGCTGTAGCTCAAGTGGTAGAGCGCTCACCTTGAGCTGAAGAGCTGAAGGACAGCGCCCAGGCCCAGAGTTCAAACCCCAGGACTGACCAAAAGAAAAAAAGGCAAAAAGGGGGGCTGGGAAGGTGGTTTAGAGATAAGAGTTTTCGCCTAGCATGCATGTGACCCTGGGTTCAATTCCTTAGTGCCACGTAAGCAAAAATTAAATTAAAAAAAAGTTGAGAGGCTGGGAATGTGGCTCGGTGGTAATACTGCTTGCCTAGCATGCATGAAGTCCTGGGTTTGGTACCTCAGTACCACAGAAACATAAAAAGCCACAAGTGGTGCTATGGCTCAAGCCGTAGAGTGCAGCCTTGAGCAAAAAAAAGTTCAGGGCTGAGAATGTGGCTCAGTGGTAGAATACTTGCCTGCCATGCATGAAGCCCTGGACTTGATTCCTCAGTACTAATATAAACAGAAAAAGCCAGAAGTGGTGCTGTGGCTCAGGTGGTAGAGCATTAGCCTTGAGCCAAAGAAACTCAGGGAAGCCCGGTGCTGGTGGCTCACACCTGTAATCCTAGCTACTCAGGAGGGTGAGTGATCTGAGGATCTATGGATCTGAGGATCACAGTTCAAAGCTAGCCCAGACAAGGAACATCTGTGAGACTCTGATCTCCCAATTAACCCCTAGAAAACCAGAAGTGGCGCTGTGGCTCAAGTTGTAGAGCTCTAGCCTTGAGCTGGAAGAGCTCAGGGACAGTGCCCAGGCCCTGAGTTCAAGCCCCAGTACTGGGAGAAAAGAAAAGTTAAGGGGCTGGGAAGGTGGCTCAGTGGTAGATTGTTTGCCTTGCATGCATGAGGTCCTGGGTCGATTCCTCAGCACCACATAAGCAGAAAACATCAGAAGTAGCACTGTAGCTCAAGTGGTAGAGCACTAGCCTTGAGCTGAAGAGCTGAGGGACAGCGCCCAGGCCCGGAGTTCAAGCCCCACAACCGACCAAAAAAAAAAAAAAAAAGTTGAGAAGGCCAACTCTGTCACACATGTCTTGCCATTACTGAAAACAAAAAGCTACCAGTCAAAAGCAACAGCTCCCTGTGCTGCTCAGGAGACCCAGCACGCTGGCTGCTACAGAAAACTGCCAATTGCCTTGTGCTCCAGCGTCCAAAGGCCACAGTGAGACGGTGTAACAAGGACCCATGATGATTACAGCCTTGACCCAGCGCCCAGCACGGGGCTCGGTTGTCAGCCATCAAGAAAGCAACACCTCCCCCTGCAGACCAAACCTGCCCTGCCCTGCCCTGCCCTGGGGAAGCCACAGGCCACTCACCTTCTTAAAGAGGACCACCCCGTCTTTGCTGAGTTGGTATCTGGAGAACACGTCACTGTTGGACGTGATCCCAAAGGGTATGTCATCAATGGTCTCTGCTGCTAGCAAGAACTGCTTGGCAAAGTCTGACTCCACATCCTGGAAGGAGGAGAGTGAGAGGTGCTACCAGCCCATGCCAAGGACAGCTGCAAGACAGACACCGTGGGCCAAGGCGCAGGAATCCCCTGAACAACAGCAGCGAACTGTTACTACCTTGAAGAACCCGATGACGGTCACCTCGCTGGACTCCACCAGGGACTCTGCTGCTGCCGCGTCAGCCAGAGTGGTTGCGGCGGGGCCTGTGCGCTTCTTCAGCCAGTTCACGATGTCATCGGCCTCTCGGCCAGCTAGACCCCAAACAAGTAGTTCCCTCATGACACAGCACCACCCACCATGCCCAGCCCCCACTTGCCTGTGCTGTGCCCATGGGGCTGAGGACCCTTGGAGCAAGTTTGCTACCCTCCCACAGGGTGTCTCTGAGCCCAGTGCCTGACCCTGTGCTTCTAGGGTGAAGAGTGGTCACCTGTGGCACACAGGACCAGGACCACCCTTTCCCTGTATCGCTCTGCATTTTCTTTCTGTGGATGTGGAACTAGTTTCTCACACAGTGCTTTCACACGTAGCTATACCCACGGGTAGGGATGTTGTTAGTCAACTTCAATGCCAGTTCTACCACCTTGAAAACAGGCTCAACCTGACCCTGTCTGACACCCTCAAATGGGCCAGGCCTCCCTGTGCAGTGCCTGCTCTACCCATAACTAGAGAAAGACGATGTTGTACCACCCAGAGCAGACACAGCAAGGAGGAGGCCTGTGAGGCAGAGGCTTTGAAGCCCTGCTTTTCTCTACTCCTGTGCTTCAGTACCTGGACCAACCAGGACAGAGAAGCACGTACAATTCTCAGAAGATGCAGCTCAATGCCAACAAAAAGCTGAATTACCAGCTAAAAATGGACTTGAGAGAAGCCTTCCCATCCACAAAACCCAGTCCCAGTAACGAACCATGGTAGCGAAGTCCATGTACATTGCTTTTTTGTTGTTGTTGTTGGTCATGGGGCTTGAACTCTAGGCACAGGTACTGTCTCTATCTCTTTAGCTGAAGGCTACCACTCTATCACAACACCACTTTCCATTTTCTGGTGGTTTACTGGAGATAAGAGTCTCATAGGAGCTGGGTCCGGTGGCTCACGCCTGTAATCCTAGCTACTCAGGAGGCTGAGATCTGAGGATCGCGGTTCAAAGACAGCCCGGGCAGGAAAGCCCATGAGACTTTTTTTTTCTGGGGGGTCCGGTCTTGGGGCCTGAACTCTGAGCCTGGGTGCTGTCCCTCAGCTCTTCAGCTCAAGGCTAACATTCTACCACTTGAGCCACAGCGCCAGTTCCAGCTTTTTTCCCCCTGCTTATGTGGTGCTGAGGAATCGAACCCAGGGCCTCATGCATGCAAGGCAAGTGCTCTACCACTGATCCACCTTCCCAGCCCCTCCATGAGACTCTTATCTCCAATTAAAAAAAAAAAAAAACCCACTAGAAAACCAGAAGTGATGCTGTGGCTCAAGTGGTAGAGCGCTCATTTTGAGTTGAAGAGCACAGGACAGTGCCCAAGTCCAGAGTTCAAGCCCCAGCAACCACCAAAAAAAAAGAAAGAGTGTCACAGACTTTCCTGTCGGGGCTGGCTTTAAATCATGATTATAGGCATGAGCCACCACCAGCACCCCGCAAACATGTTGCATTCTATGCAGGAACAAACAGCCGGTTATGAGACAACCAGAGCGGCTAAGCTGAACAGGATGAAGATACTCAAGAGGACATTTGACTAATTATACTGGCAAGCAGGCCGCAGGCTGCCCACCACTTAGGTCTGACAGATGTCCTGTGAAACTGGTTTTAGAGATATACAAGCCCCAGTAACTATTTGCCTATATCACAGCCCAGCCTCCACCAAAGCCAGTCTGAAGTTGGCCAAGTGTTGGCTGTGCAGCTTCAGGTTAAGGTCTGTGCTAGATGCCGTGACTATAAAGCCCAGCCTCCACCTATGGACGGGTCCAGCGAGGGCAGTGCACACAAGTAGTGACAGCAAGTATCACCTAAGTGTCCCTGTTTCACTCTTGCTCCTCAGAATGACAACTTAGAGCCTGCGTGGTCAGAGTGGCACTGGCCTCCCCCTCCTCCCTGTCCATCACAGACAAGCACCTGCGGGCTGCCCAGGATATCCCCTAAACAGCACCATCTACCTTAGATGGTCTCCAAAGGGCAAACTTGGTTTTGGTGGGGGGGATCCGAGACCAAGACTCAAACTTGTTATCTGCCACTTCTGCTCATGAGCTAGCACTCAACCAACTGAGCCACGCTTCCAACCCCGAGAACTTTCACGGGACTTTCAGGTGCAGAAGCAGATGGAGAACCCAGTTCAGAATAGGCCCAACTCTCAGACATGCCACTAGCCGAGCCTTCTGTTAGTGTCCAGGGTCTCGGGCAGCATTAGGGGCAGGGCCACCGTCACACCTGTGTACTCCTTGGGGGAGGCTGTGTCTCCATTCTTGAAGAACTTGATTGTCGGATAGCCACGGACACCGTACTGCTGGGCCAGATCAGACTCTTCAGTGGCATCTACCTTTGCCAGCCGGATCTCTGAGCCTTCTGCCTTCAGCTTCCCGGCTGCTTTGGCATACTCAGGAGCTAGAGCTTTGCAGTGACCACACCAAGGAGCAACTGAAAAAGAAAGCAGGATGCTGGAGAGCAGCCCTCGATCCATACCCACAGCTTCTCCTTCCAACTCCCTTTATAAAGACCTTATCAGCACAACAGATAACCCCTTGAGTACTCAAGAGGCTGGGCTGATAGCTGGTACTCTTGGGCAATACCAGGACAGAGGCCATGGGTGACAAACCATCAACCTCCACTCTGCCCCGTCACCACCAGTCCTCCAATGATTCATAACTTCCTATTACCTGGAGGCAAAAAACTAGTGTGTTCCCAGGACTTTCCTTTTAAGAATCCAGGAGAGCCGGGGGTGTGGCTCAAACCTCAGAATGCTTAGATAGCAAGTCAAAGGCCCTGAGTTCAAACCCCATTTTCTCTGTCCCACCTGCCCCCACCAAAAAAAGACCCAACAAAACCCAAACAAAGTTAAGAGGCTGATGCCCCAGCCTACACCTGCCCAGAACTAGTCCCATATGTACACATCTGTGCACCCGAACTCAGACGCACACCTAAAGCTAGCTGTTCTCTACTTAGTGCGGGACCGGACAATCTGTCAATGAGGGCTACCAGGATGGTTGGGAGCAAGACTCCGCAAGCACAACCCAAGCACTTGGGGTTTGGCTTGCTTTGCCAGGGAGACCTGAGTGCCAGGTTTGGGGTGGAGGCGGCAGGAGCGGGGTAACCCTGGGCCAGCCCAGGTGAGGAAAGGAACAGGGGCGAGCTGTGAATCCCGTCCGGTTCGCGGGTAACCCAGGGGCCCTGCCACGCGGACGCGGGCACAAAGACACCCTGCTGGCTGGTGCGGCGGCGGGACCCCGAGCCCGGCTTCCCGCCCGGGCCCGCAGGACGCCCTGCAAGGCTGGCAGGAG